TCATCCGCCCTGGATTCCCTGGATTTCCAGTTCCTATCTGTACCAGTGTACATTCTCTGATCTAGCCAGACTTGCAAGGTCGAATTCGAGTCATGGTAGTGGGAGCGGAAAGGAAACATTTAGGAACTAGAGGAAAGTTGTATTTTTCATCGTTGTTACATTGCACCTGGTTGACTCATCCCTTCCTTGGGACCCTTCTGTGAGGGGATGTTTCATTGTCTACAGATGGGTTTTGGGTCTCTGCTCAGACCCCCTTCATTCTCAATAATATGTTTGTTTGTTTGTTTGTTTGTTTGTTTGGGGTCTTCTGATGCCTGTTACCTGATCCCATAGACACCTCATGATCCCACAGGCTGGTGTGCTTCTTCCATGTGGGCTTGTTGCTTCTCTGCTAGATGGCCACTTGTTTACCTTCATGCTGTTAAGATCCCAAGAATAAATATTTATAGAAGTAGAATGCCTCATCCTTTTCCTGCAGAGTGGCTGCTAGTTTCAAACTCCCAACCTTGCTATTAGCAGCCCAATGCTTAAGCTACTGTGCCGCCAGGGCTCCTCATCCTTGATTACAGGGTGACATTTTATTGGTACACTGCAATCCTGGGACAGCACCTCCTACATAATGGCTGTTCTGGATTGCGTGACGTTCTTCAAGAGAGAGATGTGCAAGTCCTAGCTCCTGTTAGCGCAAACATGACCCAGTTTGGAAGTGGGCAGTTTCTTTTGTGGTGTTAATGAGGCCATACCAGAGTTCAAAAGCAAGGGGACACTTGTCTGCCGAGTCACGTCTGACTCTTCGCAGTCGCACAGGACAGGGGAGAGCCCCCCGGTCGGTCGGTGTCCAGATTGTGCACCTTCATGAAAGCACACCGGCACCTCTTTCTCCAGTGGCGGGGTTGGTGGGTTCTGGCCCACCAACATTTTTGGTGAACAGCCACTGCCCCGCCAGATCGCCTGGTTGAGACAGTAGTTGGTGTTGTTTTGTGCCTTCCAGTCAGTGTCGACTCAGAGCTACCTTGTGCACAGTGAAACAACACACTGCCCGGGCCTGCACCATCCTCACAGCCCAAGTTACGTCTGAGTCCACTGCTGCAGTCACTGGTCCCATCGTGCGAGCCTTCCTCTTTATCACTGCCGGGTTCCGTTACCAAACGTCATGTCCTCTTCTAGGGACTGGTCTCTCCTGATAACATGTCCATAGCACACAAGATAAAGTCTCCCCATCCTTGCTTCTAAGGAGCATTCTGGATGTACTCCTTCTAAGACATATGTGTTTGATCTTTTGGCAGTCCACGGTACTCTCAGCGTCGAGAAGTAGTCTGTTCTAAGTGGTACTTTATGAAGAGAGAACAGATACGGAGTTGTGCGCACACAGGAGGAAGACAGACACGCTGTGAGCATGCATCTCAAGCCCAGGAACCCCAAAGATTGCCTGAAGCGGAAAGAGACCTAGTCGGGTCCTCCTCTGGAGTCAATGCACAGCTTTGGGCTTCTAGCCTCCCAGATGGTGAGATAAGACGTGACTGGCTTTGTGGTAGTTTTGGTTAGAGCAGCATCAGGTAATTAAGACAGTGGCTATGGGACACAGGATGCTAATGGTTGCAAGAGTCAAATCCTGGCTAACTTAGTGGCTTAACAAATAAGCAAGTTGATTAGTTCACCCTATGAAATGCTGAGGTAGCTCAATATTATGGAAGACCCAGATTTCGTCCCTTCCCCAGATCTGCATTGCCGCCCAGTATTGGCATCGCCCTAAAGCTGCCTTAGCCCTTGGAGGCAGCTAGCTCTCAACGGTCCCTGGTGTTCCCTCATTCACTGCCTCTCATTCAGGGCAAGCAGGAGGGAAAGAGAGGTTGGCTTCTAAGACTCTCTTAGAAGACACCAACACATCTCTCTCCTTACATTGGCCCAAATTGCAACCCAAGCCTTTTGTTGAACTAAGCAAGGAGGATT